TCTTCCTCAGTTAACAGATTATGCCTCATTTCTGGGAACAGGCAAAATTTTATGGACTATTGTGGGACTGGGAGTGGAGACAAGTCAGGTGTAAAAATGCAGAAATATTGCAATATTTTTATATGCAAAAATGCAGAAATATTTTAGTCTGAATGCTGTGAATATTTTTTTTAATTATTATTTTATTTTTGAGGGGAAAATGGGTGACAATGAACGTCCTTTTATTCCACCTGCCTTGCTTTTATAGTTTTCTGTGAGGTTTTATTTATGCAGTATCATTGCTAAAAAGACACTCTGGTCTAAGATTTCCTGTAGGTGGCAACAGTAACAAAGGAAGGGCATGCATCCATGAGTGGGAATTCAGCATCCACGAGAGGAGGAATATGGATAATGAACTAGTGTCACAGTCCAGATCTAAAAGTACATGTCTGTTATTTCCCCATACCATTTTCTAGGTACCTGAGCAAAAATTAAACATTTGAAATAGACATATGAGCTCAAGATCCTTATAACAATTCTTACAACAATTTCTGTGTCAGGAATGGATGGCAACGTTGACATTGAGCATCAGGGAGGTGTGATGATACAAGCAGTCAATAACAGAATGATTAAAAATGAGAATTCAGCACTGTTGTGAGATAGGTGCTTTATTCTTTCAGGTGTATAGCATGTAGCTGCTATAGCAGAAGCACACCATAATTACTCAATTCTTAATAATTAAAGAGAGGGAGCTTTAAAAGGTTATTTTGAAATGTGTTTTAAGTTGGGAAGTGACAATAATATGTGACCATATGTAATTGTCAGCCTTCAGCCATGAAGTAACTCAAAGAACAGCACTGCAAAAAACAGCTGGTCTTAAAAAACTCACCCGTGTGTACATCCTGTTCTTTGTGTGTGTTTAAGAGAAACTTGTTGCCAGAACTGCCTTTTGGGGCACATACACCTGTGGGATATTTGTATGTGTTCAACTTGGTAGTATGAGAGATGGTGGCTCCCTAGATTCCTCCTCTGAAGCTACACGTGCAGTGAAATGGAATGGAATGGGATGGTATGGCATGGAATAGAATGGGATATACTGTTTCAGGAAGGGAAATGACATAAAATGATCATCCAAACCAACTGCCTGACCACTTCACGGCCGACAAATAGCTAAAGCACACTATTAAGGATATTGTCCCAATGCCTCAACACTGACAGGTTTGGGGCATCAACCACTCTCTCTAGGAAGCCTGTTCCAAGGTCTGAGCAACCTCCTGGTAAAGAAATGCTTCCCAGTGTCAAGTCTGAACTTCCTCTGGCACAGCTCTGAACAATTACCACATGCTCCGTCATTGGACACCAGTTATTTAGCTTCTTCCTGTTACAGACTGGCCTTTGTGGGGTTATTTTCTCTCTTAGGATAAGGGATACCCTTTTCAAAGTGGTTTTTTTCCTAAATAAAATATAATTTATTATTATTAAAGAATTTGCTTTATTATATAATAATATTTAGTAATAATAAAGAATTAAGCACCCCTTGCCATAGTGGCTGTGTAAGGCAGATGGAAAGAAACGGACAATCCAAACTACAACAGTAGTTTGGGATCTGGGAAAGAGCAGAGGACACTGCAGTAGGAACTGCATAGTCTGAACTGTAGCGCTATTTCCTACGAAACAGCATGTGTGCCTCTTTTCATCTGTCAAGGTTTGGGTGTTCTTTGGAGTGTAGTTTTTTGGGTTTTGTCTGTTTGCTCCTCAAGCAGAAGAACTTAGACATGTCTAAGAAATCCTTGTGTATTCTTCTCCTACAAAGATCCAGTAATATAAAATATAAATTTTTTTGGAATTTTATAGCCTCAGCAAAGGTGTAAACTACATTGCATTCCAAAGTATGCTAAATTAATTCAAAGTTCAATTATTTTTACTTGATTATTTCATGAGTTCATGTGGTCATCTGAAGATTTTTCGCTACAGAATCTCTTAATGTTTTCTCTATTAGTAGGAAACAAAATTTTCAAGAAGCTGTAACAACATGGTTGCATATCTGAGGACTTCCTTAGTAGCCCTGGGTTGTCATTCCTCAAGAACAGTTTCATTCCATCACATTGGATGTAGAAGTTCTCTAGAAAACAAGACGTTTGTCATATTTGTTAGGTGCCCTTTACAGAAAATGAGGATTTCTCATTACCTTCAAGGATTTTCAGTTTTGTTTTTTAAAACTCCATTCTTCCTCCTTTGCATAAGGAAACTATTGTTTGTGGAATAAGAAATCGGGTGGAAGATGACTAAGGAATTAGTAATAAAAATTTTAGCTGATTCTCAGATTATTTAGAAAGAGTTGGCAAGACTGGAATGCAAACTCAAGAAACTTCCTTTTATTTGTCAAATTAAATGTAGTGAGGGTTTGATGTGACAAATACTAGTCACACCTTCCACTACTTACAAGAATTTCTATACTTTGTTAATTGGCTTGCTCTGGGTTGGAGAGTTTTCATTATTTTATCACTAGTGGTGATGTTATCATTGGTGGGGGAAGTTATGTTTTCCTGAACTTATTTTCCTTTTTTTGCTGAGTTTGGAAAGGAATCAGATAAAGCAGATGAAATGTCCTATAAAGAGTGGCAACATCAGTCTTAGGTAAGTGGAACACCGCTGCTAGTAAGTATTCAGCATTGTTTGTTGAGGTCATTTATGGAATACCAGGAAACTCATGGGAGAGGAAAAACTTCAAAATCCCTGTAGTTTACAGTCTTTCCTTTCTATGTTTCTAGAGAATCCTAAACCTTGATGATTCCCAGGTAAGGCAGGCTATGGAGCCTAGAAAGATGCTCATGGTGCTCACTGTTGGGAAGAGTTCTGCATTCCAAACTCTCCTGTAAGGGTCTGATGCCCTAAATCTGCTTGGCTGCACCCTCAGACTGGCATGAGGCAGAGACACTGTTTAAGAGTTGGAGTTTAAGAGGTTTCTACTGGTTTCACAGTCATGAACTTCAGGGAGGGGAAAAAAAAGTGAATACCCTGTAAAGATCTTCTGCCTTCCTAAAGTAGCCAGGTTTTCACTGTTGAGGTATACGGTTCTTAAGAAATACTGAGGCATCATACCAGTCCCATAAGAATCTCTTTATTTGTGTCCATTTTTATTTAGCACATTACAGCTTCAGCAAAGACATGGAGCAGATGTGTGTACCAACATTTGCACATAAATGTTGTGAAGACACAAAGCCAAGCACTGATCTGCGGGGCCAGCCCAGTGGAGTTACTTCCAGGAAAGGATAACTTGGTGCAGAAATTCAGTCATTTCTACTTGCATCAAGGCAAAAAAACCAAGGGCAACTTCTGTTAACAACAGACTGTAGCTCTAATTCAAGTAGATATCTGACAAAAGAGCACTGATTTTACGTGCTGATAATATCAAGTTGGTAAAGACAAGAAGTTGATTTAAAGCCTTTCAAGTTCTGAGAGATGCAAGCGACTGTTTCAACACTTACCTAACAACTACCTAGAATGTTTTATCCCCATTAATAACAGTGGAAGAACTGTTAATTAGTATAAGAAATAAAAAGTAAATCCTGTCGCTGCTAAAGATTTCATTATGCTTGAAAAATCTAAAATTTACTGTAAGCTTTTAGATAAGTAAGTCATATAGTGCTTTGCACTGAAATCAAATAGTCTATTAAGAATCCTCATTTATTTCCATCTAGTTACTTCTAATCTCAAGAACTGAAACTAAATTACAGTGGCCACATGAGTGCTTTACATAGAGCTGATAGAGCTTAAAACACAGGACTAAGGTTTAGTAAGGCTTACCAGAAAGTCCAGTGGGTTTACCACAGAAGAAGTTAAGACAAGAAATTAAACCAGTTAAATGGTGATACACTTCAAACTTTACATGCTTAAAACCTAGAACTTCGTTGTAAACTTTATCCTCTTCAGCATATCCCCTCCTAACAAAAAGTTGTGAAGGAATGATTAGCTAAGAAATCTTTCATTTTTTCTTCAAATGACAAACTGCATGCTGTCCTACAGAACATGAGGTACAGCAGGTCTTGTATTTCCCTATCCAAGCTGCCAGCTCCAAGGGTTATGTTTTCCAGCTCAAAGCTTAAAATGCTTTCTCTTATGACACTTCTACATCCCCTTTTATAAAACATATCTCTCCAGGTTAAAACTGACCCGCTGAGTTGCACTGTGTGCTTCACTCTTTTGCAGTTCTTGCATCTGATAATTTACAAAGAATGTTTATACAACAATTTGTTGCAGAAAGCCAAAAGTCCTCAAAACTTTATTTTAAGTCTTTAGAATTCAAAATTGTATATTGGAAATAATTTTTGTCCTATCAAAAGCTTAAGCTTTCTTTCTGCATGTTCTGTGAGCTCAGAACTGCCATACCATTACTCTAGGCTTCAAAGAAATGTCAGCATGGAGATGGAAACATGGGAATTTTGGTAATTGATGCCTGATTAATTAATGTAATTGTTTTTGTTGAAAATACCACAGTGTGAAAGAGTACAGATGGAAATCTAAGAAAAAATATATTTTTTTTATATTGATTGTAAAAAATACCTTTATTCTCTTAGAAGCTTTGGTTGCACTCTTACTGATTGGTCAGGAATATATCAAGTAACAACAACAGCATCTCCACTCAGGAAGTTTAAGCACTCATACAAAGTTGCTCTTAGTATAGTCAGAAGAGATTTCAGATCTTTATGAGCAGATAAAGCTTGTGAGAGCTGCAGTCTGTCCCCTTAATGATGTAATTCTGAGGACTGACATCCAAGGCAGCTGCTATTTTAAAAGGAATTCAAGAAAAAGTGTTTGTAATGGTATCACTCCTTAGCTAAAGGTGGCTTGTGCTTTTGAGTGTGATCTTAAAAAGCACTCTGAACAATTTTGGATAACAACTTGTTTTAACAAGAATAGGCAAGAAGTTGAACTTCAGTCATGTTCTGTTAATCTTGTGGGATTTAATGCATCCATTTCTAGCAAATCACTTCAGGCCAAAATAAGCATCATCACTCCGATGAAGTTATTCTTTCCTATATTTAGTATCCATCCATTTAAGAATACACACACTTTACCAAATACTGTGTTACAACAAAACATGCAACAGTGAATAATCTCTATAATCAGGTGCCTAGAACACATAATTTCACAATTTACAGCTTTAGTGGTGGGGAATACATCCATTATGCCATCTCTTACAATAATTCCCTGTATATTCAAGAAATCCATTCAGAATTTTCCCTATGAAATAGCTTTGTGCTACCAGATGCACCACAATCAAAGTATTAGGAGTAATTTCATAGACAAAGAGACAACTAAAGTGCAGAGCCTGAGGGATATATACTTTTTTATTTATGTTACTGCAGAAAGAGATTACTGAAAGACTTCTTCTGCATGAAGATGAATAAAATATTTTCATTAAGCTTCAGATGCTGCCCACTGCATTGCTTTTAAATAAAAATGCATACTCTCTATCAGTCACAGCAAAGTAGTAAGTAAACTTACAGCACATTCCTTTAATATATCAAAATGTTTCCAAGGCAATATTATTGAACTTATACCACAGTCCCCAGTAACATCAAGCTGCACAAAGGAGGTGGTAAGGAAACTTATCCAGTTTAAGTGCTCTTCTTTTCTTCACCCAACAAGTTCACTGTTGCTTTCTTGGCTGCAGGAAAATAAAATCAAGTTTAGTCACAGGCCAACAGACAAACGTGGGTTATCAAGCGTTCTTGAACTGCATGAAAAAATATTTCCTTTTACTCACAAGAGATAGAACAGAGAAGAAAATTATAGCTTTTGTATACACCTACATAAAGTGATAAAACTGATCATAAAAACATTTAAAAATAAATCATAAGTAAGGAGCAGTACAATAACTATGGTACTGTTAAAACAGGACTGCTCATAGTGTTAAGGACATACAGGTTTGCAGGAAGAAATATACCATAATGATAAAACAGGCTCAGAATAATGCTAATATATGTGTGGTTTCTTTAAAAAAAGGCTGTTGCTTTGTTTTGGCTTGTTTATTTGTTTTGTTGTTGTTTGGTTTGTTGGTTCTTTTTTTTTTTGTAGAAATCTTTATACATAAAAACAGGAAAAAGAATAAGTGATGAAATGAGGACAGGAAAATCCCACATGCCAACACGGAAGGACATTAATTAAGATACATGCCTTACAACAATGACTCCAAAAGAATCATGCAGCAAAATTTTCAAGAATAGTTGAGCAAGGTAGATCTTTTAGGCAGACAGGAAAACTGCTCAAGTTGGTAAGATGAAATGAGGCTGCATTCATTGTTTGGTGGAAAGGAGAATTAAAATGCTTTGAAATAGCATATAGATAAAATTCCTTTCAAGAGAATCTTAAAAAACCCGTTATTTTAGCCACTTAATACATTTCCTTCTCTTAGTCATAAAACCATCATCAGATATTTTAGAATGCAAGGGTTCACAACAGAATGCAAGGAAATAAAAAACTTAAGCAATCTACAGGCTGTTATAACACGTAAAAATAAAACGTAAGTAATTCCGTTAAGAATGAGGAATCCTTTGACCTCCAGAGGAAGGAAAAATGCAAAAATATATTCATGGAAAACTGCAGTTTCCATGTTGCTGTGTATTGCTGTTAACTCTTTACTGCACAACTGGGAGCCCCTCTATACTAGCAGGTATTTGAGGGAGTATTTCAGGAGACATGAGGATACACTAAAACAATAACTGTAGTTATGAAAGGTATGTCTGGACCTGCCTCTAGAGAGAATGTTTTCAGTGGTGTGTATGGTGGGAAGACACAAAACCAATTCCATTCCTTCCACTCATTCTAGCCTAACTGCAATTCTAGAAAGTAAGATCCACTGCAACCCACATTTCTCAAATTCAACTTCTCCATTGTAATCTACACAGTCTTCTTGCAATTTATTTTTGTTTCCTCCAAATGATGAATATTAAGTGAGCTCTCCAGTGCAGTTCCCCCTACTTGCTGTGACCAGTGAAGGGCCTTTTCCTCACCCTCTTTAGTGATGGTGTCTGCAGTCTCTGCAGCCTTGTCTTTCAGGTCCTGCACCACGCTGTCCAGCTGGGCCTCGTGCTTCAGGAAGAAGGGACGGATAATCCGGTGGTAGAGAAACTCTGCCCCGTTGGAAGGGCTTGGAGCCATGCACCACAGCAGGAAGCCACACTGTGAGAACGAGAACATAGGCCTGAGTGGAAGGAATCATGAGAAGGAGACAAAGTGCCTTTCTTAAGTGCCACAGAACCGAACACAGTGAGAACAGGTAGTCATTCCCTGAGCGGTCAGGGCTCTGGGAGGGAGCACACCAGGACAGCTACATACAGCCAATCTTCATACTGGAGTAATTTCATGGATATATACATGAAAGAAAAAACCCTCTCAATATTTCTAAAACACATGGCAAAGGGCTCACTGAATGTCTAGGACCCTAAATGACTTCAATTCAGCCAAAACACATCCCTCTCCTCTCTGCCTGTCTGCCTTGAAAACACAGTGGGGAAAGAAGAGGATTGTGTGTACCCCAGAGGTCAACTGACAAGGAGGAGAGATAAGCCCAAGCTACACACAGTGCACAAACAAGACTAATGCCTCTGGATTACAGTTTAGGTATAGCTTTTAGAGCACCATCTGCTCTCCAGTAAAATCGAAGACCACAATGTGGGGTCATGTTTCTGCACCTTACAAAAGGGGATTGGAAGGACAGTTATTACAGGTACTACAAATCCTTGTCTTTACTATTGAGGCACTTTTATTTGGCTTCAGTTTCACTGCCATAGAGCACACAATGACAGTCATGCAGAGAAAGATGAAACATTTAAGGGACAGGGAGTGCCATAAACTAAATCTGCTTGAGTGATGAAAATACATATAAAATTATTTTGCAGGATAAAACTGCAACAAAATGAAGTACATTTTCCCAGCAGTACAGTTCTTTCTGTACACAAATAGTACAGTTTTATTCCACGTCAAAAGCCTCTCCAGAAAATGAAGGCATATCACCTTTTCTCAGACTACTCTTTCCTGAAACACAAAACAAAACAACCTCAGCCTCAAAACATGCCTTGTTTTCATGTTAGACAGGATTCCATGTTTGAGGATTTCCACACATCTCTGGGCAGAAAGGAATCAAAGCACACAGTTTTCTTCAAGCAAGGTCTCAATATATTTTGGAATATGTCTCCTCTGTTCCTTCCCAATAAGGTATATTGAGACGGAATGTTCTCTAGGTTCTACTCTTCACATCTGTAAAATTTTGGCTTTGTCTTCTCTGCAGTGCCAGACCAATTTACCATCCTTTTGGGTAAGCATTAAGTTTCTTCTTTAAACTATTTGACTGTGATATCAAGACAAAATGACTGAAAGCAGTGTTTCTCAGAAGAGAAATAAAGGTTTTTAAAGTAAAGTGTTCACCAGAGAGATTGGCCCATCAGGAAAATTCCAATGAAGTAAAACAAATAATTCAACGTGCAATAAAATCTGACACCAGTAAGTAGCAGCTGATGAACTATTAAGTATGGTCAGAGAAAATAAAGGCAAAAAGTGCCCTTATCAATATAAATACTGATTTTCAAAGCTTCAATTCTTTGGAACTTAATATAACATAAAGACTACATGGTGCTATGTTGTTACTTTTCATTAGAAGCTGAGCAGTGCACTGACTTTATTTTCTGTTCAAGAATATCTGATCAATTACTGAAAGTTACTTCTCCCACAAAACTGTACAAGTATCTCAACTTCTACACAAAAAAAAGTTAGTTCTCCTTTGTTTTAGAAAAAAATCCCTCAAATATGAGTCCAACTTCCTCTAAAACCTAAAGAAATTGAAATTTCCCTTTCCCAGCCTAAGAACAAAATCAGTAATTTTGATTTGACAGCTTTGTCCCACTCTAGTTGAGACATAGGTAATTACAGATTTGTTCTCAAATACCTATTACTTTTGAATTGCACTGCAACAGATGTTTATATATATTTTCTGTTGGACATGTACCAAAGTTGAGATTCTCACTTGTTTAAAAGCTTGGAAATGTCAGACTGATAACTCAGTTTATTTCACTTCTATCTCCCATGAAACTGAACTAACACAGGCTACTGAAAATAAAGAGGGTTGTAAGAGGTTCCAGCAAGCTCAGAGTGATAAAATTGTTAACTAGGAAAAAAAACCCAAACCCAAAATATATTCTCCGCAACCCTCCAGACCAGTCAGAGGAGGGAATGGAATTCACCTGAGCTCAGTCTGGCTCACTTGGACCTGCTCCTAGGTTTTGCCCTGGCAGCACCAATTTTAGCATTACAGAAATAGCATTACAGTATTTCAAGGCAGAATCATTAGTGGAGTAAAGAGTCCCTCTTGCTCCCACCACCAAGAATACTCATAGCATGATAAACTCTGCTGCTTTTACTGGCTACTGTACTCTAATTCCTGAATGCCACAGAAATCTTTAAAGCCTTAACAGAAGTATTTAAAAACAAATCATAAGCACAAGAAATTATGAGTTGCGTGCATGTCCTGTGCTTCAGAAATAAAAAAACCCCCAAACAGATAAATAAGAAGTGGGCATTACCAAAAAAAAAAAAAGCCCATAAAATCCAAGAAAAAGCCCATAAAATGCAAGAAATGTCATCTGGAGAACAAAAGTGTATACAAACATCATAATATATTTAAAGGAGTTCTTCAACATTCCTTTCTCCCCCCACAATATTTTCTAGTCTGCTGAAAACTTTAATGTCACAGCGTCTAAACTGTGGACTTTGGGGACTCTGGAAGCACTGGTGCTCAATGTTTCAGCCATGTACATGAAGGTGTTTTAAAATACTGAGCAACTAAATCTCAGTCTGGAGTGGAAGCTACAAGCCATATCAAAGAGATGTGAATACACAAATTTAGCAGATCTTGAGAATGAAAGCAAGCTAGAAATTTTCATGAATGAATATCTGGGCTTCTACTTCATGACAGAGATATGGAGACATCATAACTACCCTCCAAGAGGCTTTAGTTCATGGATGGAATGAAGTGTGGAAGCTGCCTGATTCCTCCTTCTCCTCCTATAGAGTAATCTCCATCTTCTCACCCGTTCAGCAACACTTTCTGATCCTCAGCCAACACCTGCCTGCCTTTGTACAAACCTCTCCTACCAACCACTACTGAGAGCAAACACTGAAACACTTGGCTTCTATGTGCCTTCTGCAGCTATCGTAGAAAGCTGTGTATTGACATAATTCCTTGTGCTTGCTTTTGCAGAACTGAGAAAAGTGCCTTTCCCTTGACTACAGTACTACATGTACCTGTGGCACTCCTCACACCATTTTATCAGAGCCATTTGTGGTCTTTATTTGGAAAGTCAACCTGAATTTCAGTCGTGTGCTCTTCAGAAAGAGAGCTGTAGTGGCATGAAGAAACTGTTGCCATGTCTTTTTCCACTAAGAATTTAGAAAAAGAAGCTCTGAAAATACACTGCATGAATTCAGAATTGTGAGCATATACCACTGCAGAGGATGGATTAAAATCATAATTCTACTGAAGTAGAAGGTGTACAAATGATTGCCAGAGTTGAGGCTTGTTAAAGACTGAAAAGGAACAAGGCAGACATGTAAACCAGCGGCTGCAGTCAATTTTTGCCTATAAAATATGGCATTTCCTGGGAAAATCTTTTGACATCGTCAGGTCTTATCATTAAAATATTAAATGACCCCACCACAATACCTGGCAAGTAAATTGTTTTAACAATTTTAGTGCAAGTAAACCAGGCTAACAAAATAAAAGAGAAGGAAGAGAACAGCCACTGAACCAGAAAATTGGTAACAGTTCTTTGAGATAAAGAGCAGGCTCTGCAGCAAGCTAAAATGTCTTTTACCCAACAGCACACAGAGTGATCAGCTATCTCCTGGAAGAATTTAACATGTTGAAGTTGACGGACACCTTAGATCCCAAACAAAGCTTAACCAAATCATTGCTGGTAGTCAAATCACACTAACAAATGCACATTAGCAACCATCTCCTCTGATACTTACTAGTTCCTTTCAGGAAACTGAGCTTAATTAAAAATTAAAACTGTAGGACAAACTATTCTTGTGTTCCAATTTCCATCTTTGCTCCAACAGCACAGATGTTACAACCTCCTTCAACACCCTACATGATTTTACTCTCCATTTTTACTAATCCACTTAAAGCAAAAATAGAGTCACTCTGTGGGGCTTACTATGTCACTTGTCCAAATTTACCTGAGCACCAAGAGAAAGAACTGTCTTTGGTTTGGTTTTTTTTTCTTTATGGGACAGTTCCACTGTCTTTTCTTCTTTCCTAAAACCCAGCAGACCTCTCCCTTCCACCTATCCCAACTTCCCCACCTGCATCACAAAACCACCACCTGTAAACAGATCGCTTTCACAGTAATAAATTACACATAACCTGCATGTAAAAAGAAGGTGTGACCTGGGAATGATTCCAAATGAATCTGGTGTTATCTACCCATTCCTGGAGACATTAAATCAGTTTTATCAAAAGGTCCCATTTTAGGAGAGGGGTCACATGAATTAACATACCTTTAGCATGTAGTAGAAAGGGAACCATGACAGAAAGATGTCAGAGAAGAATTCAATTATGCTGAAAATGCCATACACAACCCAGTAAGTCAGCCACTGTGTGTCATCATCTTTGTTGGGACTTTCAATGGCCTTAATTCTGCAAGGAAAATAAATAAAAGTGAGCAGAACAGTAGCATCAGTCTCATCTATAATGATGAAGATTTAATGACTCAGATCCTTTGTTATATGTGGCTCTCCATATTTTGATTACACAAAGAAAACTAATTAGCATCTATTATACAGACAGTGTGTCAAGATCTTTGAACAGCAAAGCTTATCCCTATACACCACACTTCAAAACCAAAAGATACTCAAGATATTTCTATCTCTGGGATTACAAGGAGGAAAAAAACAAACCAAACAAAACCAGTGAGCATTGTGACCTTGCTCACAAAACATCTTGAGGGGCAAGAAAGGGAGGAGATAATCTTTGGCCATGGTTCCAGTTCTGTAGGCATTGTGGTCATCCTGATCAGAAGGCTACTGTACATCAGAGCATTATTGACCCACATAACAGATAACCTGAGTGAGCCCAGTCCTGTGAGGCACAGGATGCCAGTGATCACCTGCCTGGCCTTGCCTGCACCCATCAGTGACCATCCTCCTTCTCTGGCAGTCAGAAAGGGAGGATGAACAGAGTTGTTGCCTTGGATGAAAAATCCTGTAATACCTTAAGTAATCAAAATGGGGTAGCCTTGCCTCCAGACAAGGCCTGTCCAGTGGGCTATGTGTGGATCAGAAATTCATTAAGTGCTGCACAGCTTGGGGTTCCCAGCAGCACCAGTGGTATAAAACTGTCTATACTATTCTGGCTTTTTTTACATAGTTAGCTCTAATATACAGCCTTTCAAATGTACTCATACATGCACTAGATTCCTCTTTGAAAAGGTAAACTTATGCCTAAGATTTGCTCTAAAAAGCACAAGGTCTACATAAGCAGAGGAGATCCAGATCCGTATGCTGAGGAATATGTGTCTGCATCACCCAATGTATTGCTCTATAAATTAATTCCTACAGGACTTGCAAAGTCTGATGTAATTAAAAGTATTAAGAACAGAGCAAAAAAACCTTTACTAAAGTATTGGGCCTTCTGTATAATGATTTAATGGGCTTTTGTTCTCCATCTGCTATGAGAATGCAGTTCTCATAGCAGATGGAGAACAAAATCCCATTAATATAGTTTTAAAAAACAGAAACTAAAAGATGCACATGTGCTCTTTCAGTAAAAGTAGTGGAGTGGAGTTTCTGGAGCCACTAAATTCCAGATTAGCACTGTAAGAAGTTTTAAAAGAAAATACTAGCAAATCTAAGCCTGATAATTTCAAGCTTAAGACTCTTAGAAAGCATTTGTCCTCTCCACTTATGCTGGAGGCTTAAAGTCTGTAGACTCAGTTTAATCAATTTAGTTTAAATTCTTGTATCACTTCCTCCTTTAATATCAGCTGTATTGTTTCTGAAGCAGCATGTGTGAGATGTTCCAGAAGTGCCAAATTTTCTGTTAGTTCCCTTAAAAAGGCACAGTTAAGGAGGTTTACAGGCAGAAATCAGAGAGTTGGCCTAAGTCCACTTCCTGGTCTGTGAGCTGAAAAATGCTGTGGATTCTGTCACTTCCTAGTTCTGTAAGTTAGGGGGGAGCAGGGGGAGTTGGGGGAAATAACTCCTGTGACATGCTGTATGTTTTAGCAAAAGCACTGGCAAACCCACAACATGCAGAGGAGGGAGCTGGCACAGCTGCTGGACTGAATTACTTTGAAATGGAGGACAAGGATATGATACTTAATTCATGCAATATTTCTGCTGGAGTGCGAGACTGGCCAGCAGTGTGCTGCAGTGGGAAAAGCAGCAGCCCTTGCCATATCCCATCAATAAGGGGATCTTAACAACACACAGCACCAGCACAACTGGAAGAACAGGTTTTCCACAGGTCTTGCAACAGCAGGTCTAATTCCTGCTACTCCTACCATCACAGGCAGCCCCAGTCCAAGCAGTCCCAAAGGCAGTGACAACTTCAGCTGCTCCTGCTCCCACTGTAAAGCACATCTTTTCCATGCCCACACCTCTGAAGTATTCTCGTAGACCAGGTGAGGGGGTTGTACAAAAATAGCCCCTGGACACCACAGGAGTTAAGAAAGAAGGCTACAGAGCTATTTTCAGTGTGTGAAACTGCATTTCTGGAGGGAAAGAAAAAAGTACATGGACTAGTAGGGATGTGATAAATGGAGCAGAGAAAGGCACCATTTGCAAAGTTTCTCAGTGTTTAGGAAAACCTGCTGTAGAGGCTCACCATGTGGATTCCTTTAGTTCTGACAATTTCTCCATTAGAGGCAGAGAAGAGAAGGCTTATATCACCCCAACAAGCATCCTAGCTTGGTATTTGTGAGAAAATACTTTGCAGTTAACCTGCCAGCAGTCTTCCTGTTTTCCAGTCACCATATATGAAGTGAAATCATATATGGGATTAAGGGAGCATTGTTTCATTTTCCTTTTTAACATTATTAAAATAATCTCAGTAACTACGAAAATCAGCTTTCTTTTATTAAAAAAAAATAATTAGAATCTCCAATTTTGTGGCAAAAGGCAGACAGCATATCACTGTGTTAATGGGCTACGCTTTATTATCTTCTCTCCTCTGGAAACAAATGGCTTTTGAGAGCTCCTAAGTGCAATGCCATGGGTGTTCTCCCTTTGAATGTTTACCATCTGCTGCTGTAGTTCCTCAGGGGATACATGAACAACACGCTTTTTCTGTCAGACAGCCACGAGCAGCAGCACTACAAGTAGTCAAAGCCTCATCTGATTCAGCCAGCTGATGTACACAACATTAAATCCACATGCGGCTGTTTTCTTACACACTGTAGGGAATAGCACATCTCCCCTTCTTCTGCAGTGGTCTAATATTGGTGGGCAAGGTCAGGGGCAGCACCCTACCAGAGCCAGCAGGGAAGAGCCACGTCAGCTCAAACTGCTCCTGCAGGCCATGGCTCCAGTCCCAGCTGGGAGAGAGGGAGTGGGGAAAAGCAGGTCACAGCAGGGCCATCAGTGAATGAAAGTTTTATCTGAAGCCAAGGAAAGGCAAGTATTTTATAAATATACTGCTTTGGAATGGGGAGCGTGTTCCTCAGATGAGACAGGGAAATCCAGCATAACATGTCCCTGTTGAACAAAAGGCAAAAGTTACCTCTATCCCTTGCTACTTACACACTATTTCAATAGTAAGTCACAAAAAATAGCATTTGTCCAAGAACAAGCACAGTAAGCTATGTAGAATATCTGAAGAGAGAGAGAATTTTTAATCCATTTATAGCTACACTCCTTTCAACATGAGAATCATACCTTTTTAAACTTAGTCTTCCAAGTTATTCTAGAGGTATTATTCTGGTGTAATGTCCTGTATCATTAAGCTTAGGAGAGACATCACAGGCATTACTTCAAGCCAAAAACTCTCCATGTTAGGTCAGCAATCAAGTAGGCTGATATTCAAAAGGCAATCTCCATCAATAAGTGAAAAGTTACAGAGCAAGAGGCACTGACGCTATATCCTACTTTAGGATTGCCTTCTTGTAAATTATTTCTGTGTTGCAAGAGCAAATAAGTCAGCCTCATGAACACATTATATCAAGATTTTCTAACAAATGAAGGACCATCCGAAGACAACAGCTTCATATTTAAAAAAATTATACCATTTTGTCTAGTGCTGATCTGATTAAATTCCACCTTAGTTATGCATAGTAATTATATATCCCAAAGCATTTTTTTATACTGCTTAATCACTAACTGTAGAGGACTTTAAATAGAGTTTCAAACAACTACTTATTACAGTAGTTCTGCACCTTGGAGGTAAAAGCAATCACTAGGAACAGCTCCAGTAGTCTGGAGAGTAAATATCACAGCTCAGTTATTTTAAAAACAGCTGCCTGACCAAGAGTGAAAATAACCTGCTGTGAGCCAGCACTGTGAGGGATGGGGAGCCAAGAGAAACAATTTTCTGCCAGATCTGTTCCCCAGTAACCCTGCTAGCTGGTGGTGCCAAGACAGGAGGTTCTGTGGTAGTCCAGGGTTCCCATCCGTGCTGAACTTACAGCGTCAGAGCACTGGCTCAGCTTTGACCCTGGGCACCCTAAAATCAGTCAAACTTTACCCTAGATCAATTGTGGCTACTTATCCTGTTACTGAGAGTAACAGACACTGATCTAATTTTAGTAAGTTGCCAAGTGGAGTTCTTTCACTTAGAGCATCTGACTCATTTCAACAAAAAAATCAGCTCTTTTCCAGAAGAGACTGTTGCTCCACAATTAGCTCTGGCATAACAAATCACTTGTTACAGTAAATTCACACATATAGCACTCACAAGCTAAGTTATGAGTTTGGAGTCAGGATTTTACTGAGCTGAGTCCAGATCTGGGAAGCAGAAATAAAGAAATGCAAAATTTTATTGCTGTGGTCTCACGTGAAGTGATCACTCTTATCCCTGCAATTTACAAGGTGAACCTGCAGATTCTTGTATAAAAAAAGTTACAGGTTCAAGGCAAAAGATCAGTCTCCCTTAAACCCAGTGCTCAAAGAAAGAGCACTGGGAAAGACTGGACCATTTTGGGCATCCTTCCTTCAGTTTTATGGTCAGTGTTACATGAAGTAAGTATATGAATTTTTGTCATACCCTTAACAAAGAGTAAGTTTGGGTTTGTTTTTTTTTTTCATTTAACTTAAAAACCCATGAAATCACCTATATTTCTAGAGCTTATGCCTACTGGTCTGCCCCAACTCTTTACAGCCAGTTGTAAAATTTACTTCTAGCTATGTATCCAGACACCCACACAGAATCAACACTCCACTGCATCACAAACTTCCTTAGCTTGGTGCCTCCCTGTCATCCTCATGTCAGACTCATCCTGGCAGGCTGCCTCCCTGACATCTCACATCATTTCACTGAAACAAGTACCTTTGGATTCACTTTATCGTTTTGGCTTCTACATTACTATCCATTACCTAAAAGCCTTCTGCTTTCCATCTTTCTTGCTTTCCATCTTTCTTCCTCCTCACTGACTGCAACAGCAGTCATGCGTTTGCAGATATAGAAAAGATCTTCCTGCCAACTGC